AGATCAGTGGGACATAGGAAACAGTTCGAGCATAGACACCGATCAAATCTATGTGACGTAGAATTCAAAGATAAATTTGTGTAGACGTTTTCAAAAAGGAAATACCAAACCGAGTTCAAATTCTGGTTACAGCTCTTTGACATCATCGCTCATTGAAAAACAATCAAAAATATGACCACATCTTTCCCTGCGTGCAGTCCCAAGACCAGTCATTTTGACTACAACCATAACTCTAGTGCTCTATAATAAAGAAAAACATTTGAGTAAGTATAGATATAATACGGTATCGTGAACTGGCCGAATTCATGATTCGTAAACTAAAAGAGTATAAGTCATAACAAGTTTTTTTGGGGAGGGGGGCAGACATTATTATTTCTCGAATATATCCATTTTATGATCAAACATTAAAATATATATGAAATATATCTGAATATTTCTCTACATACAAAAATCAGTATTTCAATAGCTTTCTTCTTCTTTGTGCCGTGTCTCTTCAGGATATGAGCGGTCATGACTCGCCACAATTTCCTTGGCTTACGGCCACATCACGTTGAAACATCGGTTCCAGTAGAATCACCGAAGCTTAGCAACGTAAAGCCCGGTCAATACCTAGACGGGTGACCGCTTAGAAATACCAAAAGCTATAAGCTTGAATCTCCTTGAGGTTGGTGTAATGGATATCGGTTCGAAATTGGAAATTGAAGAGCCGGGTTCCAATTTCAGTTGGGTTCATTATATTTGCTTACGCGCAAATATCCTTGAAAAAGGTATGAATCTATCTCTTCTCCTTCCCTCCCAGATATGGGTTAATTAGCAAGACCATTAAACCATTATTATTTCCAAAAAAAATTCTTACAATCTAAAAATATTTTCTGGCTTTAAATAACGTGCAAAGGGTTGATAAGCCGTAGAAAACGAATCAATCAATCATTGTGTGCTCCAGAAATATCAACTCTTTCTGATGTTAAGTATATGTCATTTTGTTTCCATTTGACATAAAACTTCCTCGTTGTTCACATGTTCTGTCCATGAAACGTTGGTAGGGTCGAGAACTTTTCAACATCACATATTATCGTATATTTTAAATATAAATATGATTCAGTGCGTGGGTATATTCGCGTGAAAGCAATCAGTAACGCGTTAATATGGGTTGCAAAGAAGGTTACAATAATTAAACCCTAATCCTATAGTCGTAAATGTTAGGAATAAAGTTAGTCCTCATCTTCGCATAGCATATAAGACGCATGGAGATATAAATGATCAAATTTATCCGTATATATATATATATATATATATATATATATATGGGATAATTATATATAATAACTCATTAAAACAATTACCATGAAAATATTTATAGAAAAGATACATGGGGGCTACCCTTCTGAGTAACTTGTATGTTGATGTTACCTGAGAGACTGTTAGTAAAATTATCCATTCTTTTTCTCATGAGAGCCTGAGCTTCGATTACTATTGGTACAGTCTCAGTCTTCATTTCTACCTCCTTGTTATCTCGATCTTCAGTATTTGGACAATTTCTCGATAATTTTCATGGAGTTGTGTCTCTCAGATGTTACTGCTATCTCAATAAGCATACACTTCCTGAATTTTATGTCTTTTATGATAATATCAGCTCTGTTGCTTTTATTTCCCTGTCAGTTCTGTCTCAGAGGATTTTTACATCGTTATTTTAGGTAATTGTGTTTGGTTGGTTTTTATACCATCTCTCAGTGGTTTCGATTTTAGACTTCATCCATATCTTCCAGTGTACATATGTCGCTACTTTGTTATGTCTGTGGTTATATTCATGTTAGGCTAGTTGTATTATTATTATTATTATTATTTCCTTTGATTTCTGTTGTATACACATTTCCTTCCGAGTCCCAAGCAGAGACCTAAGGTGAGAAATGGCCTAATGACATTTTCCACCGAGCATTTTTGTAAAAACAAAAAGTAAAAAAAATAAAAATAAACTCAGATGACACATATTTTACATAGATAAAGCTCTTAGTAATGTGTGAGCTGTACTTGTGAGTACCTTGTTTTGCATTTCTTTAAGGCTTAAAGAAATGCAAAACATTGTACCTTAAAATATAAGGCATGGGCTGCCAGGAATCTGCCGAAACTTTTCGAAATCAATCCGAGGGCTCCAACTCTAACTGGAATTATTGATGTTCTCATGTGCCCCACTTTTTAGATTCCCAATTCAATATTCTTGTACTTTGATAGTTTTTTGAAGATCTTCAAAGATACATTATGTTATGGCCCGGTTCCTTGTACCACGGTGATAGTCCAAGGTAGAACCAATAAAGAAGAACTCGAATACGGATATGGAATAACACAGATATATTACAAACAGGAATATATACATAGGAGTAGAAAGTGTTAGTACGAACAATCAGGTTTAGTAGTAATTGTCTGAACGCGACTTTGTTTCGGATGCTTCTGACTCGACTGACTGACTCGCTCGCTCTGACTGACTGACAGACTCCTGACGGACTTCACTCCAGGTTTCAGACTGAACTCTAGACTAGAAATATTCAGTCACCCTCCCACGAGGGCGTCATGTGGCACAAGGCCTTTTTAACGTGGGATCTCCGAGTCTGCAAGGGCTGCCATATCAATAAGAAAGCACATTCTCTTCTGGTGGTCTTTGATCAAGATGTCTGGTCGATTAGCTTTGATTGTTCTGTGTGTATTGTAAAATCCCATAAAATCGTTGCAGGTCCAATCTCTGTAACCGGGTCTGGGTGATGTTCAAACCAGTTTCTTGCAGTTTCCTTTCCGTAAAAGTTGCATATTTTCCTGTGCAAATGTTTGGCCACACTATCACACCTAGTTTTATATTCAGTGAGTGATGACACTGTGCAACCTGATAAAAGATGGTCAATTGTTTCTGGATATTTCGGGTCAACACAATTTGTTTTCAGTATGTGTGCTTGGTAATTTCTAGTTAGCAAGCATTGGTCATGTGCAACAAAAATAAAACCTTCACTTTCAGCTTTTAACCCTGTACTACGTAACCACTGATGGTACGGGGTTTGTCTATATCAGTTTGTTTGGTACGGACAGATTATTGACCATGAAGAGACCTATCTTGCCATTGTTTTTGCATTTTTGTTGTGGAGTAAATAAGACACCCACCCCCAGCAATACAAATGAACTAAGCAAGATGTCTTAAATAAAGAACTCAAAGTGAATCAAGGAGGTTCGTTGGAGTTAGTCGAGGAGAATTTCTAATGACGTCACGGCGAGTAACCTAAGCGAGATATAATATTATAACTGCTTGGAGCGATTTATAACAATTTGGCATATTGCATTTGCTTTGTCTATCTTTTTAGGTTATTTGCCACTGCAGTAGGTGTATTATGGTTTATTTGCACTTCTTCCTCTACTTGAAATTTCCTTTTGAGTTTGTTGGCTTTCTTTATTACTGAATAAAGTTTCTTATTTCTCTCATGTTCTTTGACACAGATCATCATCCAGTCTTCTGTAGCTTCAATGTATTTTTGAAGACTGATTGTTGTGGTTAGTTATAGTTGAACTAACCCTCTGCCTTCTTCGGATCGGGACACATACAGAGTATCAACATCAGTCTTAGTATGATGCATGCGGTGGCATTGTTATTATTATCAGAATTATTATTATTATTTATCTTTTTACACACATTATCAATAGCTCTAGATATCCAGTACTTTTCTGATTGCTCGTGTTGTGCCACACAAACAGGCTTTCTGCAACACTTTATTATTATATTACTATTACCTTTGATTTCTGCTGTATACACATTTTCTTCCAGGTCCCAACCAGAGACCTATTATTATTATTATTATTATTGTGTTTGGTATAATCTTGCTAGAGAGTAATTTTAAGTGCTTAATTACGAAGTCCACTTCAGGTTATACGAGTAAAAAGTGCACTGTAGGTGAGTTATTTATGCAGATTTGGGACGTTCCGTTTAGATGGAGCGTATTTAGCGGATGATATATGCAGTTCTTCACAAAGTAATCTTTTTTAGCTCTGAGATGCTGATGAGTCCAGGAATTTTACTAATATGATTTTCGGCACCTTTCTTAATCATACCCAATGCCCCTATCACTACATGGGTCATCGTGGTTTTAAGTTGACCTTTTGCTTTGTATGTGAAATTGGATAGACAGAACTTTTCGGAAGCTGTCGATGGTTGTGCGAATAAGAAAGTATTTGAGTTTGGGCCTACTAGCCTTTTTCAAAAAATTGATCACACCACATGATGCACTCTCTCCTAGAATCTGTAACTAAAGTCTGCTCAGCATAGTATAAACAAGAGTAGCAGAATTTGACTAGTACGGCCATTACATTACGTTTTATTAAAAATGTTAAAGAAGATATTTCTTGTTCATATGAATGCATCTTTAAATGCACTGTCACCAAATCTATCACGGCACATAAATTCTTACAAGTATACGTTTAAAGTTTCTTAATTAAATCAATGAATTGGCAAGGTAAATACCAAGCAACTCGAGGAGTTTAAATATCTGGGAAGTATTTTAAAAGATGGCGGAAAATGTGACACAGAAATCCGAAGGCGCATTGGAATAGTGAAAGATGCCTCCGAAAAAGATAAGCAAAGTATTAAGAGGAACATTTATTTAGAAAAAGAAAAGAGTGTTGAACTGTTATGTAATATCAATCTTCCTATATGACAGCGAATGATGGACAATTTCTACGAAGATGAAGGGGATGCTTGAATGATTGATTGTTTTTTTTATGGTTTTTCAACCTTTTGCAGAATACTTAAGAGCAGGAAATATAGAGGGTAAGAATTTTTGGGGATAATAATGATTTACTGATACAAGTTTTACTAATTAACCCATAGCTGGAGGAGAAGATGTGGATTCATAACTTACCCAAGGGTTTTTGCGCGTCAGTGAATATAATGGACTCGACTGGAATTGGAACTCGGGTCTCCGAGTTCCAATTTCGAGCCCCTAATAATTGCCTCACCAACACATCCAAGTTTACAACACCTGGTATTCCCCAGCGGTCACCCATCTAGGTACTGACCAGGCTCGATGTTGCTTATCTTCGGTGATCGTGCGAGAATCGGCGTTTCAACATGATATGGCCGTAAGCCTGGAGATGTGTTTCTACAGAAGAATACCATCGACTGAACATGTAAACAACGAGGAAGTTTTAAAGAAAATGGGAACATTAAGAACAATTATACTTCGAACCAGTATTTTGGGGTCCTGGGGTGGGTGTACGCGCTCGGATGCCCCACATTAAACCAAACTTGTCACATCACATCTCAGTGGGGAGACGAGCTACCTACTTTGGATCAGTAAGAAACAGTTAAGAATTTTAAGATACTTAACGGAGAAAGAAGGCTTGGCGAATTTGACACTCACAAGGCATACTGAAAGCAAGACGGGGCAGAGGAAAACAGCGAATAACCTACCTAACAAGTTGGTGTCAATGGATGGCAGAATAGAGATTGGAAGTGATAACGAAAAGACAAACATTATAAAGGACGACAAGGGATAAGAAGTTGTACAGAGCCATGATTGCTCACAACCTGAACGGTCACAGCATAAAAAAAAGTTGAAATCTGATGCTTTGAATGTTTCGTCTTTTTGCATTGATCGTTTTAACATCCTCCCCCAGTAACCCAATCTAGGAAGAAATATTCAAGAGATCCCTGCTTTTGTTTTTATAGGTTCTTGAGTGAGACTCAAGCCGAGGCGTTCCACAACAACGCAGCTATGGAGAATGCAGTCAACAGCTTCCATATTATCTACCGTTTTGTGGTAAAATGGCATCATATCAAGGAAATTGTTTACCGCCGGTTAAACTCGGAGCCAAGTTCCAGTGAGGCGTCCAAAATCAGCCAAGGTGAGTATGAAACCCTTGTTAAGCGGAGTGATTTATCTGCTCGTAAATCTAAGGTCTGACATATATAATCCTACGACATATATAATCTTCTTCACATGATGGTGTATAATGTATAATTATGCACTCTGAAACAATAAATATCACGTGCATTATGTGTACCCCTGGATGCAAGAGAAAAAATCAAATTAATGTATCCTTTAGAGATTTGAATTTGTATAGTTTCCTGGTCACTCATTAATTCTCTCAAACATTGAGGGTAATCTAACTTTACACATGCGACAATTATAGTTCTCATAAAAGGTGTAACAAATCTCAAAACTAGTTAGTAAGCTTTAATTCTTCCCAACTATTTTTCTAATACTTACTTTACTGGAATATTTCATTATTGACTTTATCTTGCCTTTTCATTTCTCTGCGAGCAGAAATTCTTCGTTTGTCTACCTCCCAGCTTTTAAACACAACGTGACATGTTTATGCCTTATTAATTACGGACAGTGTATATATATATATATATATATATATATATATATATATGAATGTGTGTGTATGTGGTCGCCTGAAGATCTCGAATAGTGTGAAACTTAAGTAGCGACTCTAGTTGTGCCTCTGACAATTGACGCTATGAATCGTTTTTTGCTCTGTCTGAACAGTCAAGGCGTTGAGCACTCTTATTTACTATGTAAATATTTGCCTTTTGGTCTTTTATTCTTTCTTAGTTTGATTTTTTTTCTTGAGTAAGATTTTTGTTGTTTTTTCCTTTTTTAATTAACTAATATTATCCCACCTTTTTTTTTTATACACACACACACACACACATATATATATATATATATATATATATATATATATATATATATATATATATATATATGGAAAGAAGTATGACAGTGGAAAAAGTTTTCGTGATACGCATTTATGCATTATGATTTCATCGGACGAAGTTTGTTTTGCTGATGCAACTACACATGCGCACGAACGTGAGACGCCGAAAATTTTAAATTATTTTTTTAATATGTGCTTTAAGTATAATCTATACGATTTCCAACATAGTGATAATAGAGCTGCCAAGAAGGATTAAAAGTTTTAAGAAACTGGACGTAAATTTACTATGGCTGATTTAGCGAGTAAAACACTTTCTAAATATTTTCGTCTTAGTAAATTGTTTTCTCTATTAATTAGCGTAGCATTTTTTTTTTATTCAAATTGTGATCAGTCTCGTTACGGTGTGCAACTATATGCATTTAATGTGTTGTTTTGTTAAATATCCCTTTTATATTCATATAATATTTGATTTAAATTCCTTGGGGTTTCTCCGATGCATTCCTGTGGCAATTATTACAGGTGATAGAGTAAATTCCTTCCTCAAGATTCAGCCTTTTGTTTTGTTTTGTTTTGTATTAAGTCTTTAATTGTTTTACACGTAATTGTGACAAATATTTTTGTAGCGCTTAATGTTTATATTGGTTATAAGAAGTCCTCGGAGAATTTAAATCCTCAAATCTTGCCTATTGGAAGTATTAAATTAAATCTATTAGCTTGAAATTAAAACTAAAATAAAATATTCAAGAAAGATTTTTTATTTACAAGGAATCATTTTAAACTTTAAGTATTGCTTTTCTTTGAAGGTACTTAATAATAATAATAATAATAATAATAATAATAATAATAACACAAAATAGGGCGATAAAGAGACAAAATATGATGCTTTTTTACAGTTACCATTTCTTTAAGATTAAAAGGCTTTTCTTTTTCTTTTTCTTTTTTTCAGAATTCTTGAATATTATTAATCTGTTACAACAACGAGAATATCTGTGGCCAGACAATATGGATCTTCAAGGCGCTGCCCTGGGACTTCTGCGCATCGTGGAAATCTACAAGATCAAGCTGAATGCTCTGGCCAGTGGGAAATTCCTTGGGACGAACTGTGCCCCTTTGACCATTGACCAGTTCATGATGATCGCAAACCAGGCACAGGATATGGACATGCACTGGGAAGCAGTAAAGTGGTACAATTATACGATTCGTATGACACAAGGATCTCGCACCATGACAAATCTAGTTTCTCAAGCCTATAAGCAAATGGCGGATGCGCTCTATAAGGTAAATTTTATGCGTGGGGTACTTCAATGTGGCGTAATGGTTAGCAAGTGTCTCGCTAGATCAATTACGACAGAGTAGTGAGTTCGATCCTCACTGGGTGTCCGATACTTTCGACCTTGAGCTATATCTAAACTACGCTTACGAAATCACCATTTGGGCACTTCGAGTGGTGTAATGGCTAACAAGCTTGTCTCGCTAGAACAATTACGACTGATTAATGTTCGATTCTCACTGGGTACCCCATACTTTTGGCCTTGTGCCACATCTAGGCTAAGGTTAAAAATCACCACCCGCTTTACACACTTTTACTTTAATGCGTATTGCTGATTTAGAGATAATGCATTTTATTAACTTAAAATTTGTGAGTTTGCTTTTGAAAATAAACATTTTAGAATCGATTTGTTTTTTCTACCTTAAAAACTACTTAGTATTTAATCTCTAAATTAGGTTCTTTAGATAGATATATAATTTATAGTACTGGAAGTAGATAGGTTCACTTTATAGCCAATCTACTTAACGAATCTGACGTTGGCATCGATGACTGCTTCAATATGAGGTCTGAAATATTGACATGTCCGAATGAAATGAACCTTATCTATTTTGGACATTGTGTTTGCTCTGGCAGATTTCAGAGATTTCATGAGGGCCTTGATTGAATTTCTAATCGACTACGATGCATATGAAGTAATCTGACGGATTCAGCCATATGTTTGGGGTAACATGATCGTGGTGATTGTAACCCAGCCATTCTTTTGTTGTCTTGGCTTGATGAAACGGCGCAGAATTTTGTTGATAGGTGTACGGTCTTACTTTGCTCATGCTCTATAATCAAAACAAGAGTTTTGTGTGGATTTGACGGTTATATTTTGTTTTTGCAGATATGAATTAGCCTCTCAATATTACATATGGCTTGTATATAAAGTCCTCATGAACATTTCTTCCCATAGAGTGCCTTGAAACCTTGAACTCCTTAGCAATGGTGTTAATTGACTTTCAGGGTTCCTTATCGATAATTTTTTGCATTTTTTTCTTTTACAAATGTGGGTATTTTGATGGTATTAGGAATCTTAGCAAGCCCTTTTATGTTTGGCTACTGTTGTAGAATTTTTGACAGCGGCTTATTTGCGAACATTGGCAAAAAACGAGCAATCTCTAAATCATAACGACCTGCCTTTGTTGGCAACGATTACAACGTTCCTTTGCATTTGCTGAGTTAGCTTGATGCTTGTCATCATCTGAAAAGAAATGATCATCAGAAAAAGTTAGAAAAAAGAGCAATTAAACAACGTGTCCTCAAAGAACTGAGAAACCCTGTATTCTGTTGCATGTGTTATAAACACTTATGTATTGCTGTAACACAGTCATGTCGACGTGCAGATGCTGAATGACGATCAAAATTTAGAACTCATTATTTATAGATTTTAAAAGCCACAGAAACAATTATTCTTTAAAGTTTGGTTTCTTGTGCTGATTGGTCAGGATGTTTTATTATTACGCTTGATTGTGACAGTGTTGACTCTGAGTGATGAGAATGAAACATTTTTTGGTTCAACGCTTATAATCTTTTCTTTCAGTTGGGAAGACCTGACCTCTCAGTTGACACGATTCGTACTCTAATCAGTAAGTAAAAACGATGATAGTTTTACTTTATTTCAAAATAAAAACGAAACACTATAAAATAGGCGGGGGGTGATTGACAACATAACCATGAGAATAATATGATTGCATCGCTTATTTAGGAAAAATTAACTCACAAGACAACGGAAATAGACAAAAAATCCCTTGAGAACATATTTGCATCTAATCAGTATTTGCTTCATTCTCCTTGTTCCCAACACTAATTATAAATCCCTCATATTTTCAATGTATTGCTATAACAAAGCACAAGCAAAAAATCAGGAGGAAAATAACTTACAATCCAATTCTATAATAAAATCATTAGTAATTAACTTACATTCTACATATAACAGAGCAATTGTATTAGTATCGTTAGAACTTTTCCTGATTTTCTGTATATTTCTATAATAAATCATTTTAATACGTTTTATAGTAAAATAATTAGCAATGCATTTACTTGATACATAAAATAGCGCTATTCTGTCAACAGTGCTTGCATTAAGTCTTGACCACTGACAATTC